ACAATAACTCTGACTATGTTTAAATGCTGGACAAACAATAACTCTGACAATGTTTAAATGCTGGACAAACAATAACTCTGACCATGTTTCAATGCTGGACAAACAATAACTCTGACTATATTTCAATGCTGGACAAACAATAACTCTGACTATGTTTAAATGCTGGACAAACAATAACTCTGACCATGTTTCAATGCTGGACAAACAATAACTCTGACCATGTTTCAATGCTGGATAAACAATAACTCTGGCTATGTTTCAATGCTGGACAAATATTGTACTATCTGACTTACTGGTCGAAGGGCTTGAATGCACTTATTAGGTCTGGACTGGAACTTTTCCGAGAGATGCTAACTGAATTGGAAGTTGTAGTTGAGAGAGATGTAGAAGACAAGTTGGATGTAAGAGGTGGTGGGGAGGACGAGTAGAGGGTTTCTCCAGTAGACTGAAATCGGAAGAAGTTTTGAAACCTTTAAGTGACAATTGAATTGAATACCATATTTAAAACTACTTTACCTTGTTTATGCATTTCAAAATTAGGCTTAAGTCTAGCTTGTTATGATTGTTGACAAAAGTAAATGATTATTTCACAAGAAAGATTTTCATCATTCAATAATTTAACACAGATTATTAACCCAAGTTTGATAAATTGGTGCTATTTTTAACAAACCCAGTCAGGGCTACAAAATAGTAGACTTTTTCATCTTTTGGTTATTAAAAGACATAAACAGGTAAATGTAAAATGAAAACCAAAACAATAACTTGTATAACTTGTGTGTAGGAATTTAAAACTGTAACAACTGTAGTTAAAGAATGTTTTAAAAATTCTTACCTCGGTCAGTACCGTACAATCATAAGATGGTCGAAACTTTTCCTGCATACCAGAAATTAGAAAAAGAAGAATACAGAGAAACTTTATATATATTAATAAATCAAATATAAAAATAGTGCAAATTGTTTCTGAAATGGTGCCCACAGCCTGGCATTTTAGAGCATACTGATTTTACTGGACCTATCCTTTACCCAACAATGTTAACATATTTCCTGATACAATAAAACTTGATGGCAAAATGTTCCAGAACAAAGTTTATCATTCATTCAGCAAATCAAAAAACTTTATTTTTGTCTCAGTTATCTCTAACAATTCATATAGCT